GCTAAGTTAACTTTCAAAAAATTCTATGGCTGGCAACAGCATTTTTATTTTTTAAGTTGTTTATTTTTATTTCTTTTAGAATTCCTTATTTTTTTAAGCGAAATGTTTTTTAACTTAGCAGAATTCTTTGCCGACTGTTCTCTGTACAGTATGAAGAAAATAAAGTAAATATTTAAGTGTTGTGAAAAGAATCTTATTTAGTTGTACAAAGTACTTCTTTAAAAATGAAAACTGTTGCCACCAGCGGAAAAGAAATACAACCAAAATTTGGGAGCCACGTAAGAGAATTATATATAATAGATTATTGTAAAATGTGTTTATTTCTGTATTATCTTACACACTGTATTTTTTTGTTTTGAAGTTTAATAAAAAATAAAAGTTGCGTTCTATAGTAACATTTCTTGCTCCTGCATTACTGCAGACGCGACGTGCTAAAATCGACCTTCTAAAAACTCACATCCTCAATTAGCCTTTTCCGTTCCAAATAACGAGTTAAGTTCAGCAGAACAATTTAACAAGCCCTTAATAAAAGTTTTTTTAAATTTAAATACAATTTATGTAATTATAATTAATTAATAATAAATTGAATTAAATTAATTATAATATTTAAAATTAATTTATATTTTTAATTTAAATTAAATGGGAAATAAATCTGACTCTCTAACTGCCAACTTTCACTCATTTTGTGTCAAACTTTATTCTGATATTTAAAGTGGCAGTAGAATGTATACGTTCAATTTATTCTTTAAATTGATAAATTTAATTTAAAAAAAGTTTAATCGCTATTGTACTTAAATAAATAAAACATACATATAAATGTATTACAATTTCACTATTGTGTATTTAAGCTTTTACAAAATTCGGAGTATGTTTCTGTCTGCAATTGTACTTCAGTTTTCATTTAACAACTACTAATGGGGAAAATCTTCCTCGAAAAGATTAAAAGTTGGCTAGTATGTGATTTTAAAGTGGTTCTAAATTAGAGAATTTTAACATTAGTTTCTATGATACTTCTGCATCTTACATAACAAAAATGCTGAGATTTATAGTGTTTCTCCACTGGAAAATTTGCCACTACAACGGCTAATATTTTTTTTTTTTTTTTTGGATAGAAAAAAGAAGAAATTCCCTATATGAAAAGTCTACTAATCATTTTTAATAGGAGGGCAAACTTTCACACCCCTAAAGTTAAAATTTTTTGTCTGTGACGTCATACAGAAACATTTTCACATCAGAAATTTAATCCTTTGACACAGATGGAATACAAGTGTCATTTTTATATATATTTTTTTCGCTCTCTAATTACAAGAAAAAATATATTTTGGTGTTTTTAATTGTATAGAACAGTTTCATAGTTACTAAAAAAAAAACGGTTAAATTATCGGAGCTATATTTGTATTAAAATGTAAAATCCAACAAGAGTAGATGGATTTTTTTTTATTCATATTCAAAAATGTATCATTAATTGATTTTGTAACTTAAAGAAATTTCAATGATGAATAACTGTTTCTCTTAGATCTAAGTGACTGCAAATTCGAAAAATTATTGTTTGGAAGTGGACCATGTTTAGAAGATTTTACCTTTAACGCAAAAAAAGACACCGGTGTTTCATACTGTATTTTATAATCATCAATTATATTAAAACTCTTAAGCATAATATTTTCACTTATTTTGACCTTAATAATAATACAAAATAACGAAAAAAAAATATGAAAACTACGTTTCATAAAAATTTTGCGACAGAAAACTTATGTCCAATGTTGACGTCTATAATATAATATGCTTTACAGTTGAATATAAAACTATGTGAACACAAAAAATTAGTACAATTGTACTGAGACTTGAATATTATTAAGTTTCATAGTTTACATTTATAGTTTTTTGTAGCGCCAATGTCACAAAAATTTATTACTAAAAAAAAAAAAAAATCTCAATTTATTCTTGCGAAATAATAAGCCTCTGTTTATTGTTATATTTTTTAAATCTATTTTATGCAACTGAAAGTCATGCCATAAATTATTGCTGGAGCAATGAAGCAACCGAGCCACAAAGCATTTCACAACTTCTATTCAGGAAAAGAAACAAGCATAAATAACAGCCCGAGATTGGGAATTCTTCAGCGATGCCTATATTGTAAAAAAAAAAGAAGAAAAAAATTTTACAAATTCTTATATGTTATAAATTCTGAAGCCTCCTTTTTGTAAGGTTTAACGTCGCCTGGCGATGTGATTTTTAAAAAAAAATTCTGACGCCTAGAAAGCGATGCTCGATGGCAAAAAATGATAGTTTCCTTTAATAAAAACTGTAACTAGAAGAACAATTCAATTGTATTCAAACTGCGAAATACATATTCAAATTTTATTACAAAATCATGCCTTATTGTAATTAAGCTTTAAACTTTTACAACTAAAGATGATCTTTTACCAGGAAGAAAGCTTTTATGCCACCTCATGCATATAAATGATGATAGAGACATAAAAGGAGATTATGTGTTAAAATTAGAAATGATTCAAAAATTGGTTGCAATACTATATTCTATTTGAATCCATAATTTCAACCAAAAACAGAAATTTCGACCAAAGGTATAACTGGAATTTTCTATACATCTCTACAATACATTCTAGTTAAATATTAATACAAATTAAGAAAAATCCAGAAAAGTTATAAATTCTTAAAAATTGTATTTAATTAAAAACATATATAAAGAGAGCGTGAAATGCGGTTAGCAGAAGCAAGGGCTTAAACAAACAGTCGCAACGATTGCTGTCACTGTTGTCGGTGAATTAAGAGAAAATTGGTGAATTGGTATTTTATGAAAATTATACAAACTTATTAATTTTTGTAATAAGAAAATTAGGTTTATCATTAAGTTACTATTTAAATTCGTTCAGTTAGAATTAAAAAATTGTTTTAAAAAATGGCGTCTAAGTACTTAGTGCAAATTTGCATTAGTGTATGGATTCCATAATTAAAATTTTGGATTTGTTAAAAAAATTTATTGGTTTATAAAATGAAGGCTTGGGAAGCAAATTTTGGCAAAAAATTAATTTAGCAACATAAATGCACATTTATTTAGCAACTTACTGTTGATATAAAATCACTATTTGCTCTATTGTGCTGTGAATATTAAAGTAGTACTTAAATACTTTGCATTTACTACTAAAGTGCAGCATTTTCGCTTGTTTTGATTGATGTGTTTTCAATGTGATCTGTAATTTACCCACATTTGCTCAATGGCACATTGGTCAAGCGAACTGGCCTTCCAAGGCAAATTAAAGAATTTTTTAAAGAAGTTGCAATTCTAGAAAATATTCCTTAAAACATTTTTAAAATCATGCATTCCTTTTTGTATTTTTGACAAATTTTATTTCATGTACTTAACTTAAATTTTCTCAAATAATAACGATTATTGAAATAAAGCTATTAAATCAACAATTTTTGATGAAAATTTTACATTTGTAACAATATTTGAGCTTTAAAATATACATTAAAAATAATATTAATCATGCTATACTTAAATACTTTTAACTAAGTCATTCTATGAGCACACAACCGAAAAAACAGTGAGTTCCAGTGCTCTGCACTAACATTTTCTTTTTTACTTTTTTATTAAAATATTATTTTGCTTTGCCTTCGAATTAACCAAGAAAATATAGCATTAAATTTTAAAATAAGCCGATTCATAAACTCATTTACTCTGAGTTTATGAATCGGCGAAAGTTCGATGTGGCACATAACAAACATTACTTGGAATTAAAATAAAATAAAAAGCAATATCATTTGAAAGCAATTGCGGGGGGGGGGTGGATTAAACCCTCATGACATGACCCTTTTGTCAGTTGCAATTGATTATTTACTAGGAGTAAATGAAAATCATCTTCAGTTCTTTTAAAAGTCTAAGAAGTTAAAACGGAGCTTTTAAAATCGTTTTAAAAAGAATATTTTATTCCTTGAAAATATAGTATCGCCGATTTCCTGAATTATTATCCCTGAAATATCGTTAGATATTTCAGGGGAAATATCTAACTATACTACTATAAAGGAAATGCTTTTGATTTGAAATGCTAAATTATAAGCCAAATACAAGTAAATAAGATTTTTCTTCTTTTTTTTAGAAAAAATAGTTTTTTACTCCCCTCCCATTATTTTCTTAAAAATTTTGAATCTGAAAAGCGAAAATATTGGACAGAATTTTAACCAGTGGCGTGTATAGGGGCAACGGCCCCAGGTAGAAAGCCAGCCTCAGGTATTTCTAGCAATACGTATCTGGCTAAAGGAGCATCCAGTCGACGACTAAGAACACTAAAATTTAAAATTAAATTATTGCAACGATATTTTTTTTTATCAGTTAAATATTAGGATTAAACAAACTATTTTATGAAGAATGAAATTAAGTTTTCAAACAAATTTAAAAATGAAGTTTTATGTAATTAAAACTTGATTTTTTTTTTTTACATCTAAGAAAAATTAAGAACATTTAGGCGAAAATAACAAACCATAAAATATATTTTTAATAAATTTTTAAATGGATTTTATTCTATATTTAAATTGCCTTATTTATTTATTTGACATTACTATTACTCTTATCCCCTTAACGGGGGCCACTAATCGAAAAGTTAACCCTCAGAATCCACGTGCTTTGCACGCCACTGAGTAAAACAAAATCAGAATGCGAAATGAACACAATTGCATCATCAAGAATTATGTAGAAAAAGTACTATCATCAAAATTCGGGAGTGGAAAAAGGCATTTTTTTTTTCCTTTTCATTTTAATGTTTTTTATGGCTGAAGAAATTATATTCGTTTTTTTTTCTAAAATTACGTCACAACCACCTTTTGGCTAGTGCTCCTTAATGAATTTACTACGCAATACGCAACGTGTTACTCATCATCGCAGATCATCTTTTATTTGCCAAGAATCTCAAGGTGATTTGTACGCATGTCTTCACAACCTTGAATTCTCGAATTTCAATCAGTAAGCTTATTATCTTGAATTATTTCGGATTGAATCACTCCCAAAGCTTCACGCATTTTTTAAAAGAGAATTCGCTATATTTTAATTCTAATAAATTTTATATATTGTGAAGAACTAATATAAGGTCCTTTCATTTTATAACTAACTGTACAAGATTTCGGACGGCTAGTCGAACTCTTATTTTTAAAACACTATTTCATTGACCGGCAACACCGGCGAGAAGGGATTTTGTTTACTTTTTCTCTGTCGAATTTTGTGCAATGGCTGCTCGTAAGAAATTTAGTAACGGGACCAAACCTTTTCCAATTAGAGGTAAATTTTGATTAATTTATAATATATATGTTTCAAAAAGTATGATAATACTTGTATTTAAGTAACTGGTGTTTTTTTCTGTAATTAAATTGCTACGAATTTATATGAAATTCTAATGCGTATTTTCAAATGTCAAAGTTGGTTTTCATACAATATTTATCGAAGCTGATAGTTATTTTTAATAGTATAAAACGCACAAATACTTACATATTGTTTATCTATAATTATGTTATCATTTACCAAATATCACTATACGTGGTATAAGCTTGAAATAACGAACAATTAAAATTCGTCTAGATATATTGGTGAAAAAAATCTGCTAAATTCATATCAACTCTAAAGCAGTCAATATCTTGGTTATTTATATTTGTACATTAAGCAGAAATTTAATATAAACACTTTCATACTAAATAAAGTTTTGATTAATGCAGTGTCCATAAATTTGCTAAAGAAATACTTCAACATATTGTGAAAGAAATTGTGGTGCTGTTTTTAAAAAAAAATTCGCCAAATGTTTTATTTAGCATTCCTTTATATTTTATTTTACTTACATAAGACTGTTTTGTAAGTTTTTTAAGTTAATGAATACCTTATTATCAATATATAAAATAATTTTGAGTTTTATAATAAAATTTAAACTTAGTAGGTACTTAATGTTTAAAATGAGAAATAATTTTATAGTGAGTTTTTTTTTCCTTGTCTGTAATTAAAAATTTTTTTCCCCTGATTTTCACTTATGTTTTTATTAGCAGATGTATGGTAAGTAATTTATGTTAATTTTTATGGAAAATAATTTATAGTAACATAGAAACTTGTTTAATATTGAGTTGTATTTTATAGGAACATTTGTTTTTATAATACCCTATGCATAAAAACAACTTTGTCATAAACTTTATTTGTATATTCATGCTGGCTCTGTTTATTTTTTGTTTCTGTTTGTCCTGAATGTCTACCCTTTTTTTTAAAAATTGTTTTCAGTTGAATTATTTAAGATAAATATTAAATTACTATAAAACTTTATTAGTAGTAAATTTTTTAATGTTTAGATAATCCATTTTACTTTATCTGAGACGAGACAAAAATCTATCAAACTTTCTGATATACTAAATTTGTGTTTACGAAGAGGAGTGTAAAATTGTTAATAATTCAGTGAAATTTTCTTAAAATAACTAATTTTTTTATTTTGCATTACATTTCTTACGATATTTTACAAACCACAAATTTAATATTAAAAAATGAGAATTGAAATAAAATGAATTAGTTATTATATATGTCGATCCCACTCCAGACGAATTTCTTTCTACCAGTTTGTGTTGATAAAACAGATCAAATGGTAGCAAGATGCATAATCTCATCCTGCTTTTTTGCAGAAAATATATTTTCTCCAGACAATAACAAATTATTTATTGCAAAAAACTTATTATGAATTTTAAAAACTAAAATGGTTGTGAATATAAGAATTTGATTTTATCTTCATCAATTACCACTCTTCAGTGATAAACACTTGTACTCAACTGGCAGCAAATGTTAAATGTTAAGATTATTTTTCTAATCCATGTTATGGTGTATAAGTCTAAAAAGGAATAAACACACAAAAGATAACTATTGAAAATTGGAACTATTGCGGGTGCCCTAGTGTGATTATTTTTCAGAATTAATAATTCTGGTGACATTGTAAATTTTTTAATTGTAAACCTGCTCTTTGTGTTTTATGATTAACCATCTTTAATTAGTAGAAGCTTGTAATTCAAAAGAAGTGAGGGGCTCTATTATGTATAATATTTAAGATACTATGTAAATTTTTATTCTAAAAACTTTTTATCATTAAATATTTTTTTTCTTACATTAAAGAAATTATAAATATCTAAGTCTTAGATTTGTACAATTATTTGTGTAGGTATGAAACATATATTTAAATGAAACATAAGTCAATATACTTCCTGACTAAACTTTTGAAGTTTGCCATTTTTCTTCTTCTTTTACTTAAAAAAATTAATTTCTCAGAAAAGTTTTTTTTAAATTTAATGCTGAATTTTTTCTTCCAATTTCTTCAAATTAATACCAAAGTTGAAAAAAAAAAAAATCAAGGTGCCCAAGCCTACTGTGGTATTTTCCAACCTCACCACTGCTGATTTACTTATCAATTATATTTACATCTTTTTGTTTCCCATTCTATTGCCCATAAGATAATTGTATCTGGAATATGTGATTAATCATATTTCAATTTGAAATATTGTTGAATTTGTAAAGAAATTAAAAACACGTTTGAAACTTTTTAAACCGAATACCTCTCTTAACCGAATGTAGGTTGCAAGTTTTTACTACATTTTACCCACAAACTTAGTTTTTCCTTTTCTCAAATTTATCTCAAATTTATTTTCTCAAAGTATGAAAGACTAGCATGAATGGAATGGAATGCCAAGGCATTTTATTTAATGCTGGATGTTTGTAGGCAAAATATGATATTTATTTGGTACTTTCGTTATGCTTTTTATGTAATATCTAGGCATTTTACAGAATGTCAAATGATATTGAGACAATTTATTAGACTATTTAAGTGCTATTTAAGCGAAGGATGAAAAAGTCCTGATAAGGCTATTAATGTTAGCAGCAAAATATTAAATGCTGACATTCTATACTGTGCCTACAGGGCCGGATTAACCTATAGGCACACTAGGCACGTGCCTAGGGCCTACGAAAAACTTGGGAGAAAAAAAAATTTTGACGAAAATAATTTAGTTTTAAAAACAAGTGTATTTTGCACAAAATTATGAAGATACAAATAAAAATATAATATTTTTCGGTAATAAATTATTTTGCAGAATCTTATGATCTAATATATTACTTTTTTGCGATTTTTGGATTCAACGAAATCTTGTATTATGCTGTCGAATTCCAAACTACGCAAAATGTCGTATTCAATAGACATAAGTGCGAGCGATGCCAAACGATCTTGATTCATTGTTGAACGCAAATAATTTTTTATCAATTTTAATCTGGAGAAAGATCTTTCTCCTTCTGCATTTGATCCAAGAAT